GCAGCAGCAGCAGCAGCAACAGTGCCGCTCCACTATAACTGAGTCAGTGGAAGTTTGGAAGCTGTAGGTATAAACTATCTGATCTCCCTTTGGTCTATCATTAGGCTGCACAAACTGTGTATACAAAGAAACCAACCTAAAAACAACATGGGTTTTTGATTAAAAAATAAAGTACTAAATGAAGACAATAATTTGTACATTTTCATCTTCAGATGTATTTATCCAATAACTTACAAATTAGCTGGTCTGACTGGCTACATCCCGTAAGCGGTTGCATTAAAGTGCTTGAGTGACCAGTCATGGTTTCTTTAGTATTTTTGAGGGAAAACAAGGAGTTGTGATTTAGTTCTTCACTGCCTTTTCATGTTTCATCTTTCACCTGAAACCAGAAACAAGATGCACCAAATATTATTTTGGTATGAAGTTATAAACACAATATAAGGTCCAAAATTATCCTGTGGGTAGTTTGAACTGTAAATTTATATAAACGCTGTTGATGGAAGACAAACACCAACCCTGTGATTAAGTGCTTGTTATGCTATATGCTGTCACCCTGAGAGCTCTCTCTTAGCTACAAACCAACTTTAAGCCTCCGAAAATAATGTACATGTTTCCAATACATCTGTATACTCAATCAAAGTATAAAATCCTTAGCAAAAGAATTTGCCCTTTTCTCACAGTCAGTCTGAACTGAATGCATATTCCAACAGACAACACAAAATGACACTGCATCCCTGTAAGGCAGCTGTTCATCTTCTACGTGGACGCAGCTCCAAATATACAAGGATGAAGTTCGATGCACAGCTCATATAAATCACCTTATTAAAATGTCTACAGTCTGGGTTACAAGCACCAAAACGGGGCTTAACCCAGGGCTCACCAAAATGTACTGAGAGCCACTTGAAGCCTGCTGCCACTGCCCTGAATGTAGGTTAATGATCAGATACCCAAGCAGTGGACAAGAACAATGAGGCCTTTAGTAGCGATTAGGGGTTAAAACGGAAGGGGGTGGGGAACAAGGCAGGGATTAGAGCAAAGGTTAGGACCTGGGCATAGATCTCGTTCTCTCCCCACTAAAGCGTCAAGCTCACATGACTCAGCCAAACACTGGGAAAGTGTTTCCACACAAGCCACATTAATGTCTACACTAAAATTTTAAATATAAAAAGTAACTCACAACACCATCCACCAGCTTAGAAATGAGGAGAAAAATGTGAACTAAACTGTATCTCAGACATGACATAATCTCCACCCGACACCAGTGACGACATAGACCTGTGTAAATTTACACTTTGGTAAATCACAAGCTTCCATCCATCTTCTTTAATATTCAAAGTCTGTTGATTAAAGTTATTATATAAAACACAATTTACCTTCTTATGATTCACAAGATTCTGCATTGCTCAGAAGGCCAGACTTCCGAAGCAGCCAGGGTAAACAGGATGTGTTCGTTCTTTCTGGCATCAATACGGCAAAAATAGTCCAAGAATAACAAAGCCGAACCAGACAAGCCAGTCAAATTGTCTATAAAAGTGCAAATATGTTGTTAGTCGTTCATAAAGACAAACATAACTTCTTCTTCGAGACAAGTAATAAATACTCTACCTAAAAAGAAAGGTTTTGATGTACTGCACCATCACAGCAGTCCACATATAATATGGACAATAAAATACAAATGACCACTACAAATACTACACTCCTACAAAACAAAAACAACACCCTGCATACACCCAGCTGCTCGTGAAGACTTGCACATGTTGTGTAATCAAGCTGTTCCACCCTCCTCATACACAAAGACTCAGACCTGCACTAATATAGACTTGCAGGGCAATTCAAGGCTATAACACAATAACTGTGGTAAACACTGCACTAAAAGTAGCACGAGGTAGATTAGTCGGCTGTTTGGAGCAGTAGTCAATAAATGAAAGAAATAACAAACCATGTCCTATCATTATTGTATGTAAAATATTCATTGACAGTGTGTTTTCTATTACCAGTAGTGAAATACAGGATTTCCATTATGTTTATTAAGTAGCAGTGGCCACAGTCACTCATTAATTTCTGTGACTGCTTCAGAACTGCAGCACAACAATAACTACCTGTTACAGTTAACAGTTGTACCTATGATAGTACAGTAACAATAAACATCCTAAAGTGTCTCACCCACGAGGCAGCACTTGGTTTATCGATACACAAAGTCTGAGGTTATTATAGTTTTAACGTCACATAAGATTTAAGTGCTTAACGGTAAAGTCGGCTTAATTGTAGATTATGCTCCTCGGCAATGTTCATATGTCTGTGGCTCACAAGATGAATAACAGTGGCAGGCTCACATTTTTCTTTTCAAATCATGGGCAGTCATGATGTCATAGAGAACATGGCTAAACACACGAAAAAAATCCATCCATTATCTTAAAGTCTTGGTGCCCATACTGAAATTGACTTTTTTTTTTAGCTCAATTCTGGTTAAGATAAAGAATTGTAAAAACATGTACAAAATGTACATGCATGTTTGTACAAAAACGTGCCCTAGACAGACAAAGTCTTCACTTTCAAAACGGAAAAGCAGCAAACCGTGACCAGAAGAAGAGATGAAAATCATTGAGGGGTTTTCCCCCTTAAACAATCCAGACACAGTATTTATTAAAAACATAAACAAAAAGAGAAACTGTGCAAAGCATAACGTTAACCTAAAGCAAAAGCTCAGAAGTTTATATTGGCAATGCAAATCCAATTTTAATAAATATTGGGTTCAAATTATATTCAAATTTTATTTTTTTACAAGATAAAGAAGAAGTTTTTCAAATTGTACTTGGTTAGATTCTTCAGGGTGCAGATTTTGATGAATAAAAATACAATCTAATAATGACATTACTAGATGGTTTAAAAAAAGAAATCTTCTTTTTTAATTTGCAAGTCATTGCATACCACCTCAAACGCTGGTTGACCAACATTACTATCAGACGAAAAGTGCAAATCATTCAAAACACTTATGTAATCTGTAGAGAAGGGAGAGAGAATTTAAACTCTCCAGTGCACCGACTCTGGGGGAGGACAGTGCATTAAAAACACTGACTGCTGGAAACACAACAACACAATTTCCCTTAGGTCTGACGTGCATAGCCCTTTTGCATCACACAGTGCTTTTATTCAGGACAATAGTTTTAATGGGCCACCCTTCAATGTGAGGCAGATAAACTCGACAAAACAAATAAACACCTGCCAAGAAAACTAAAGTTATGTGCAAAATTCCACTCACAATATTGGTAAATATGTGGGTGATCCATACAAATATATATTATCATGTGTCAACGGGAGAATATAATTGTTCATTTTTCAAAAAGCATTTTTACATTCATCAGTACAATATAAATAATGTGTGACTTCTTGCTTTGTGGCCTAGCACCAAATGACACACTGGTCAGGTTGTTTGTGTTGTTGTGACACAGGCAAACAGGGTGTGACCCTGCCCCGCCTGTTGGCTGCCAGGACTGGTTCTAGCCCCCAACCCCTGACCCTGAACAGGATTAGGCTGTAGACGGTGGATGAATCAATAAATGAACGTGTGTTAGGGGAACACAGTCTTGTGTTGTCGGGGCTATATAAACATCTATGCCTTCAGGTCAATGTCATATGAAGCAACTTGCTAAAAATGAAACCACCACACAGGAAACCTTTTTAAACAAATAATTTAAAAAACTGTTCTAAAATAGCAAGGCATAACTATGCAAAAATACTGCTGTGCATGTATGTTTAATTTATAATTCTTGCGCTACTATGTAATGAAAATGAAAAAAATTATTTCATTAACAATCCTAAGATACTAGGTAATTTTTTTTCAATTTTTAACTTCTCAACTTTCTACACAATAAGCATAAGCACTTTCTTGGTCAAGATCACAGATCCACAAAGGATTTAAATTGAGTTTGTTTGCCTGGTTAAGATAAATACAAAAAATAACATTTTTCTTTACTATTTATAATTGCTGGTGTTATTATTGTTATATTAATCTCTCAAGTCTTTTTCTTAGGACCATATTAAGTATAGTTAGGGATACACAAGACAAAATGGTCCACCTTTTAACAACCTGCGTATTGAAGAAATTAACAGAAATAAGTGAGTGGCCCATATCAAGGTTATTTGCAGATGAGCAACCAGATTAAAAGAGAAACACCATGAACAGGTGACAGTGACCTGTCTGTGGTGCATGAAAACAGCACAGGATCTGTTAATAAATGAAGGTTGGTGATATGGGAGCAAGATAGTTTGTATGTCATTGTACTTAACTAATTAATTGCATTTGTTAAACTGTGTAATTATGGGCTAATTACTTCGAAGCAAATGTGGTCTAGGTTAACCACTCTCATCTCACGTTACCTCTAAAAGTCTAGTTTAACAATGTAAAATTATCTTATATGTACCATTTACCAGGTTTATACACTGCATAACAAAGTGGATTCTTATATGATAAAATATTATCTTATAATAAATACAATATATAAAATTACCTGAGAACGAACTGTTAGATGATAAGAATATAAACACAGATGGTCAAAACATTTAAAATTATTAAATATTAAAATTATTTAATGTAATGACTAAGTCACGTGTAAGACATTCTTTCATGTCCAAATATTGAGATTAAAGGAGCAGTATTTGTATTAAATTGCTAGTCAAATTCAAACGCGTATGTACAGTTGGGGTGGCACTATTTAAAATGTAAGGGTGGCGGTTTTTGTCGTTTCAGAGCGGTCGTTGCACGAACGGACAGCCATCTAAAAACAGGCAGCTTTTGTATCAGGCAACACACCCCCAAAATGTCAGAGTCACTGGCTGGGAGGCGCAAAGAGCTCACAGTTATTCATGCTGTTCCACTTCATTTTAAGCATAAGCAAACCATAACTATATGAACGAAATATATAAGCTCCAAATTGTCTTAATATGATCTTGGTCAGATCGTTAAAAATTATTTTAATTTAAATTATTTACCCCAAAGTAACATCGCTTCTGTTTTGCGATCAATCCTCAGCCAGCAATATGTTATAAAACGCTAATATTAGCAACTTATATACGGTTACTATTATTTATGTGGTTACACTTAGACGTCAGGGGCCAGCTTAGCGATACGGCAAGGCTGATAGAAAGACACGTTATATCGAATACCATGTTGTAACGGCACTATTACAAGACATAGAGCAGAACGCAAGCTGAGACAAAGCCCACTGCAGCCCCTCCGCTGCCCTCACAGCGAACGTCCCCCACCCCATCGCCTCATCTCAATTAGCTTAGCTGCTTCCCTTCACCACACATCCTCCCTGGCTATTTGGCAGCTCTGCTTCAACCCGACATTTTCCTCTTGCTCTCTGGACTCTGCAATGCAACAACGGTGACTAGATAAAAACACGACTGTCTGAATCCTTACTTCTAGACGGGTAAGGGACTCAAAGAGCGTAACGCACGTGGCTCACAACTAAACTGTACCAAAAGCAAACACATAACATTCCATTTTCTCACGCACTTTACGTCAAGCTATCTAGCGCGTTAGCCCGCTCGCGGTAGCCAGATGGCTAATGTTAGGAAGCGAATTTTACCACAATCGCACAACAAATCTAATAAGATACTTACCTTTAAACTGCCCCGCACTGTGCCGCTGTCTCATGTGCCTTTTGCTATTGGTATATACTGCGTAATGTAAACAATTATTCTCTATAAAATTAGACGTTTACAGTAGCCTACGCTAGTGTGACGTTCATCTCTGGTTTGAAAACATCGCAGCCTCTCGTCGTCCGTCCTCTTCCAGAAAAGCCCAGCAAAACACGCGAGCGTCACTCTGATTGGCCCACGAGAAACACGTGACTGAACAAACCCCACCGAGCTTATAAGGTCTCCGTCTGCTGAAGAGACCGTGTTGATGGGTATGTTTTATACCATTTGTATCTATTTTTACCACAAAATAGCGTATTTCGAATAGTTTTTGTTTTATACCTATGATGTTTTTGTAAGTTAGAAGCGTTTATAATCCTTTAACTAAAGTCTGCCGTGGTAATACATACTGAAAGAACAGAAGAGGGAGAACCGTAATGGGCATTTGACGTCATCTTTTCCATTGCTGTGCTGCGGTTAGTGCGTACGTTGCCGAAGCTGACGTCCGAGGTTTTGTCTGTCGTACTAATATTTTTACAGTAACGTCAGGCGATTGAACCCTTTGAATTGCGACACAGTAGAATTGCAGTGTTTTTCACGCTGTCACTTTATATTTGCTGGTTTTAGGACTGATGGCGCAGTGGCATTTGCATCATGGAGGAATGCTTTACGCATGCGCGTTGGTGCACATTATGATCCATGTTGCAGAGCAGGCTGAAGCTTGAAAGTCGCCAGAGGAACGTGGGATGGGGGAAGGGAGGCCGGCGAGACACCCAAACGCCACCAGGGCGAGATGGTAGTGAGAGACGCAGTTTAATTCAAGGATCTGTATTAAATTTAAAGGCATCTTAAATATGTGTAAGGTATTCTTACCCCCATTTTTCTTATGCACAATATGAACACATCTTCAATAATGTATAGTCCAAGTTGTAATTCATGTTCATTATAATTTTGTATGTTTGTTCAGTATTAACCATTAATCAGTCATTACTTTAGGGCCCATTTAATTTTTTGTTTTAGGTCACGTAGGTCAAACATTGACCTGGAATTATTCATTTCTCTTATTATTTGTCTTCTAAATTAAAAGGTAGGCAAAGCATTCCAGTTGCATAAGACACGGTTGCAGCAAATGGCATCACATGCAACAACAGGCAGCGTGTGTGCTGTCTTTTTAAAAAGGATTAAAACATCAAGAACCTCAAATGATGCTTGTGCATTTGTGCACTGTCTGCTTAAAATGGTGCAAATTTCAATGTTATTGACTATGACCTTTAATCTGCAATATTTACCTACAGTTTAAATAAATACTATTACAAAGATATTTAAATAATATAAAATTTGTTCAATTTTATTTTTGTCTCATTAATATAACTGTGATGCAATGACATGTAGAGCGTAGCTTTATGAACAATTTATTTACACAATATGTTTGCATTATACATATCAGTTTCAGTGAAAGGTTTGCTGTTGGCAAAAATGAGACATTTACCAACAGTCTCTACAGATCCTGTCTTACACCAAAGCCTGGTCCTTTCGGAGGCTCTGTGAGAGAAGTCAGGCCTCCTGCAGGCTCACAAGAGAAACGCCCACTTCTGTAATTCAAAACAACAACAACCACAAAAAAAAAACATGTCAATGTGTGGCAGATGTGAATGAAATTTTTCAGTGACATTAAACAAAACATCTACCTGGGCCCTGGTGGTGGAACTCTGCCTGCCTTTAGATCATCAATAATATTCTCTATGTCCTTAGGCGTTAGATCTTCCTGAAAATATACAAGTACAAGATACTTCAGTACAATGTGTAATTATTAAAACAACCCATTATTTCATAGCATTTTATAAAATGTAATGTTTGATTGAGATAATTATTGCAAGCCAGTATAATTTCTGAAAGGCTGTTAAGATTAAAACAAAAAACAAAAAATGATGCTATCAAAAAGTAGAACACACAATTTGGTACCATTTAAATATCAAATCAGAACTGTGAAATCAGTGATAAGAGGTAGTTAATGCATTTTTAAAAACAGAAGCGGATTCGTGCTGCTTGGTTGATAACAACCGGTTATAACGATATAAAACACACCCACACTATCTAATTCTACGGTTTTAATCGATAATAGATAAGTATTGTGTATAAATAACCTGTATTTATTTGTACTTTGAAGGTTTCGTGTTCCTAATGTAAGGCTGAGCAAAAAACAGTTAAGGTTTTAACTTAATAATGTTAATTAAGTTATAATAAGTTGGAATGCAATCTGTACTCACATAATAGTTATCATTGATCTGGACCATTGGAGCATTGACGCAGGCACCTAGGCATTCCACTTCTATTAGTGTGAACATCTTGTCTGGAGTAGTCTCACCAACCTTGATACCTGCAGTGAGGCAAATGAAGACATGCTGTTTATGGAGATAATGTACTAGTACTACGTAGGAATACGCAAGTGTTACAAATGTTATATTCCAGTTTAACAATACTAAGAACTGTTACTTGATTCACTAGGAAATAGGAGACTGTCACATTTAATGTAAACAGGAGTATTAGTCATCTGGGTTAATTTCACTTATCGTTTCATGTTGCAACTTTCTTTGTCAAATTGCACTTGTTTAGTCCATTTTTCCACAGTTATGTACAACTCAAAATTAAAAAAATGATAAAAAAATATGCATATGAACACGTGTCATTGATTTTGACTAAAAAATGCAAAACTTACCAAGTTTGTTTTTGATGGCTTCCAGGATGCTGTCAGAGTTGCAGAGCATGCAGGGTGTTGTTGTGCAGATCTGAATAAAGTATTTTCCCACAGGCTGACGCAGGTACATGGTGTAGAATGTTGCTACTTCATACACCCTCATAGGAGGTATATTTAGCACTTCTGCAACCTGAGTGACAATAATTTTTGTAATTTACATGAGAAAAACAACCCAGTGTCATATGATGTACATTGAGATATGACCTAAATACCTTTGTAAACCTAAGAAATGCAGACAAGAGAAAAAAAATCACTCTGCCTTGTTCATTGCTGAGATGGGGAGCCATCCATGTTGCCTTTGGGCAAGATCCAACACTGGAAGAGTGGCTGCTTGCATGTATCCTTCAGGGTACATGGAAATAATGGTTTGAATCCTCTGCAACACAAGTTTTTTTTTTTTTTAAATTAACAATTTAGATAGATTGACTCAGCATCTGGACATAAGTCATTTCTAGTAACATAAATATAGACATTTGAGCAGAACAAATGTCAGATTTACCTTTTTGTTCTCTTCAGTGAACTCAAATGGGATATCAGAGTTGTTGTCAGGGGTATCTCTGTGCTGAGAGAAAGACAGCAATATGTATGTTCAATATAATACTTGGTGTATTTGCATCAAATCCCACGTATCCTTAAAATATGTGAAATATATTCAATTTTGACTGCGCAATTATGACCTTACAAAATACCTGTTAGAATTTATTACAAGTAGCCTGTCATGGTTAGGGTCACATTTATTTCTACTTCTGCACACACTGCCACCTTGTGAGCAACAAAGAAATCTTGCGCAAATTAAAACATCTAAAATGTGAGGGTCTGACTTTTAACACATCCAAAACATTACACTTTAAAACTACTTTGAAACTCGCAACCTCTGTGGCACATTTTTATATCAACAAAGCTCGCAAACATCTTTATTTCCAAGAGACTAAAACCATGGCACATTTCCATTACCAGTAAATCACAAGGGCTGTTGTTGTGAAGCATGTCTTAAATAGGCTCCACAGGTATCTCAATGGGGAATTAAGGTTTTTTTATTAAGTATAACAGAATAGAAGAAGAAGAATGTATTCATGCTTTAAGACTAAAAATGTCAACATAATGAAGCACCACAATAAATTTGGTGAAGATATTGTATGATAAACTCTTTCACAATGAAAAAATGAGAAATTTTGTTTGTTGTCCCTACTCACTGCTATATTGCTAGATTATCTGAGAAAGACAAAATCGAAATAACAACATAAATTGCAATACTACACAATTTCCTACACACCAGAGAATAAAGTTGGCACTCACCACAAAGATGCCCCCAGCTCCAGCACGTGCAGCAGACCGATGCAGATGCCTGACCTGTCTGGCCTGTAAACCAAACAACAAGGGAGTGATGAAGGAGAAGCATCAAGATTCAAGAAGGTACAAAAATAAATAAAATAAAATAAAAAATGAAGACCAAACGGAACACATTGTGTTGTTGTCGTTATCTGCTTCAGAAGCTGTCCTTAATTATAGACAAGCATAATAAAGTTTTACATATATGTAGTTTGGATTCAAACATTAAAAATATGGTTAAATGTAACAACCTTTTATCAATAAATTATGTTTATAACTACGTACATTCTTAAGAGACACAAAATACTTATACTAATACTATAATTATTAATTTATATAATAATATAAATAAAAACATTAAACCTTCTATTTCACCTACAAAAACCTACAAATTGAATTGTTGTTAAACTAAATAATTAAAATATTTTATTTTGTTTCATTTGTATTATTTCGTAACATATTTTAATGAGTTATTTTCTTACATTGGCATCGGAGCACAAACATAACTATCAGTTGTATAGAACATTTCAATAGCTCTATAAAATAATTTATTTTTTAAAACGTTAGACAGCAGAAGGCTAACACCGATAGCATGCTAGTGTTTTCCCAGCGTAAGCTGTATCAGGGCCTCTGCTGCTGTGTGCCCTTGTGAAAAGTCACGGCATGTTATCTAAAAATGACAACAACAATAATCGCAACTTTTAGCCAGAAGTACAAAGAATACATCCATCATACCGTGTGAGAGACAGCCGAGCGAAGAGCCCCAGACAAAAACATCTTATAGCCTCAAGTTTGGTCCCGGTCAAAAATGGACAGTACACCAGCACATCAAAATAGGCTCTATCCTTCTCGATTAACTCTGCCTGACGTCGACAAGGCGCTGCGTCGTCTAATCGATCCCAGAGTGGTAATTTGAGCTCAATACCACTCGTTTGAGTCGACAATCACTTCCTCTGAGCTCTGTTATGTAACCTGGTAGTCGGTGTAATATGACCAGAGGTTACTAGGAAATAATATTCGGTATAATATTCGATCTTTTTTATTATAAAAAAGATCGAATTGAAGAAAAACAATGATGACACCAAATTAATTCCTTGTCAGAAAGTTAACGTTTGAGTACTGGTGTATATACAACAAATGTTTTATAAGCATTTGATTAAACCTCATATTTTGACGATTTATGTTTATAGATAGAAACATAAATGATTATCATTTGGTTGCAATTAATAAGTAATAAATACGTTTGGGTGATTCCAATTTGATATTATTTTTTCTTTCTTGCAGTAAAATTATGAAATGTTTGAGGAAGCAAAACAACTTTTTTCACAGTTAGTAGTGAAGTCACATGTAGTTTTTGCACAATCCTGATCTCAAAAATGTTGCATCAACATTCAGTAGGCTTCAACAAAGCACAACCTCAAATGCATTCTATAAAACAATGTAAAACATGTTGACACTGAGTTGGCTGTATTTTAGATTTATGCTTTCTACAAATAAATTAGGGCTCATTCAGGTATAAAAAAACAATTTGTACTTTAGCTACATACAAAATCCCAAAAACCTCACAAACCTTAAGTATATTCAATTTCTCCTATTGGGAAGTAGATATAGATTAATCATAGCTGAATTATACAAAGTGCACTATTACTAATTAGAGCAGTTTCTATGTCAGCTTGAACTTCCCTGCTCTTGTCTGCGTGCCAAGAACCCATCCATATATATTAATTCCTCCTCCCCCTCTGCCTCTTCTTTTATCTCCTTGCTCTGAAAAATATTACAATCAACAGGCCAGGGATGATTCAGCCAATAAAAAAGTAGGAGTGCTGAAGCTTGGGTAGTGATTGGCTGCAGTGGCACTATGCAGACTGGATAAGGTCTGGGCTCATGGATGGGAGGTGGGTCCTCATGCGAGCTGAACTGTGCTGCTGTTATACTGAAGGCCTAGTAGTGTTATTACTTCTCCCAAGAGGATCAGCAGTGGCTCCAGATTAACCTATTTTCCAAGTCACCCTCAGATGATATAGGACTGTCTGCGTCTGTACTTCCACAATGGTTGTACCTAAATCCGAGGACAAAATGTACTACCCTCCTCCTGACCTGCAGAGGGATGCTCATGTTCCTAATTTAAACTGGTATCTGGAACTGTACAGGAAGTCTCTTGAGAATCCAGAAGGTAGGACAAACACTTGTGAAGTTATAGTACTAGTGTGTGTACTAATATTATGTATTCCACTGAGCTCATGTACATGCAGTATCTCCTTGTCTGTCTGTCCTCTTTACCCTTCAGCATTGACCTAAAGTGTCACATTTATTTCAGCTTTCTGGAAAGAGGTTGCTGATGAATTCTTTTGGAAGAAGCCGGCAACTGGGCCAATGCTGCAATACAATTTTGACATCACCAAAGGCAATATATATGTCAAATGCATGGAAGGTGCTAAAACCAACATTTGCTACAATGTCCTGGACCGACACGTCAAGGAGAGGAACCTCGGTGCGAAGGTTGCCTATTACTGGTAAGCATCAACACATCAGACCAGGAATAAGTAATGGCGTTGATGGGAAATGCTGCGCAGAGTTATGTCAGGCACTCACAAGTGCTGTGTCCCCCACTGCAACATGAGCACCACAAAACAAACCACAGACTCACTTTAGTTTCGTCTCTCTTGCAACAACATTCCAAAGTTGTCCATTTTACACTCATTGCAAAAAATTTCCCCAGATTTCGTTATTTGGTTAAACACATATTTTGTACATTTGTATGAGTCATTCTTTTTTTTTTTACAAACCACTGCTTTTAGTAAAAGTTTAAAAACGGTTCCAACACTGAGTAAAATCTAAATTTTACTATTTAAATTAATAGTTTACTTAAATTACTTAAAACTAAATAATAATAAAAATGACCTTTTTTGTGTGTTTCCTGTCTTACATCAGTCTGTTTGCTTTGTCAACTAAAGAAGCTCGGCAAACAAAAACCAAACGTCCTGCAGTTCAGCAGTCATATGGGTCCATCCAGTACAACTGGACACAGCAGCCACAGCAACCATTAGACACGCGTCTAAGTGTCTTGACAGTGTTTGCATGACACCCTGTAGTTTACATAACACATCTATTCAACTGTTTGCCATGCAAGTTCAACAGCACATATGAGGAGTTTAAACTGCAGTGTGTCAACTTTGTATGATTTCGGTATGAGTGAGCAAACTTTGTTCCACATTTTCTACACTTTTGTTCTGCATTATTTAGATTTTATTTCCATTTTTTGTAATGGATTTAAAATATGCCATGACACTCATATTTCACTACACTAACAATGACGTCTGGTACAAAAGTGAACCTGCTTTTTTTAAGTTCTGTCATACACCACCTACATAAATCCTGTCGGTGAATGGACTCACGGTCGGACTTTGCACCCGTGTGTTGTTTAAAGACCAGTCCGTCACAGGCATTTTGTTCAGGTACTCACCATTAATGATGATGATACCTGGACCTGCTGCCCTGTGGAAACACTGTTTTACACTACAGACCTGTCAGAGATTCAAACACAACACATAGAAGATTTGTGTTGATAATGTGTATTCTCTTGTATTAACAGGGAAGGAAACTCGGCCAACGATCACATGACCATCACCTACTCTCAGCTGCTGAGCCAAGTCTGTCGCTGTGCTAACGTCCTGAAGCAGATGGGTGAGAGCTTTAAGGCATTTGCAGCATCTAATAATTCCTTTAAATAAACTACTGTTTTCTGCTTCAAAATATGTTGCATTCTCAGTGATTGTGATACATGAATATTGGTCTCTGATTAAGGTGTGAAGAAGGGAGACAGGGTGTCCATCTATCTACCCATGATCCCGGAGCTGGTCTATACAATGCTGGCCTGTGCCAGGATCGGTGCAGTGCACTCTATTGTGGTAAGTGAAAAGAAACAAAGGTATCATGTTCGGGTATAAAGGCAGCCTCCACCGTGGGGTGAAAAGATGTGGTGTGACTCAACACTTTGTGCTGTACTATTGCCAATTATGAATGAATGAACAACTGCCGTGCTACTATGAACTCCTCAGGGATGTCTTTGTTGTTCAGTACAGTCTATTGCTGCATCAAATAATTCTCTCCCAGACTGTATGACTGCAAGTAGAAGCCAAACATCCAACCATAGCTCAATACTCTAAACTGGACTTTTCCTTACACTCAGTGACCCACTTTCACACTCTTCTCTTCTCTCTGTTTGAACACCAAAAAGAGGTCAAATTCGTTTTTGACAGCTCGGAGGAGTCTTCACTGACCTCAGTTCAGCCTTTGGTCACAAACTTCCTGGACCTGATCCTGGCAAACAGAGGTCCGGGTGGTGCAGAGTATTTAAGGTTACAACCTTGCACTGTGTCTAAAAAGCAGCCAACATGTTTGTTCTCTGACTCTGTTTACCACTCAAACATTACCAGCTGAACCCGAGCTCTCGTTTCTGTCAGCTGGGACCCGGTCGCTCCTATAGTTATCAAATGTTGTGTGTGTGAACACCAACAGTAGCAGCAGCAGCAGGAGGGGGACACATGCACATGAATATGTGGGTCAGACATTCACTGGCTGAATCCAACTTGGGAAAACATCAGAGTAATTCTCCAGCCAAGCCAGTGCTATTTTAGTTATTTAACCTTCCCATCTAAGCAGAGGTTGGAAGCCTGGTTAAAAATATCTCCACATGGCTTCATGTCATGACTCCCCATTGGCCTGTTTTGGGCAGACGTACATGAAGTGACCTTGTCTGTACTCTGTCCTTGTTATGAACTTCAAATCCCTTTTTTTTAAACATCACATTATTGTTGATAATACCAGCAGTTTAGTTATTCGCTTCACTCTCTGAACAGTTTCGTGAATTTACTTGGCAGAGAATCCTGTCACAGATGGGACCAGACAGGGCCGCCAAAGACAATCACACTGTGACATTTTGCTGTGTCCAGAGTTCGTCCATGACTTGTCTTCACAATGCTGGCACCAACACTGAAACTCGATATTAACTTTGGCAAGAACAGCATCATCTGGTGGGAGGTGCAACAGTTGCAGTTACATAAAGGGTCAGTTATACATGTTGGTGCTGAGTAACACTTACCAAGGTGACCCGTCTGTACAGTGTTTCTGTTTTTGCATAAAACACTAAAGCAACCCTATGCTCAATTGTGGGGATGGATCAAAAAACACCAAACCAATCCAGTCAAACCTAATGTAACCCAAATCAACCTAAACCAATCCAAACCAAAGAGAATGTATTCTTGTCTTTCCATTCTAAGATATTTGCTACAACACCAGTGACATATAAAGCCAGGAACATAAGACCTGAAATATGATGAACACTAGTTTCCTTTTTAAGTCTCAGGTTTTGTAACGGCCTACTTTTTTTAACCTCTTTATTTTTGTTTTTGTCTGTTTCTTTTGTCTGTTCATAGGCCTACTTTTTTAACCTCTTTATTTTTGTCTGTTTCTTTTGTCTGTTCATATTCAGTTTGCAGGTTTCTCGGCTGAGTCTTTGTCTGAGAGGATTAGAGACGCCCAGAGCAGTGTCCTGGTGACAGCAGGTTGGTACCGGCTAACCTCTGACACACTTGTTGTGAGACACAAGTGCACCAGTATGTAATGTGTTAGTCTGCTGGCATCGCATCCTGGCTGTAAAGATAATGTTGGAGCTGTAATTGACTCAGTGTTTGAACACCTTCTCCCTGCTGCTGCCGTGTCTCATTATCTATTGACATCTGTCACGTCATCTCTCTCCCTCTGTCTGTCTTTCCATAACTCCAGCTTCTGTCCCTATCTCTCTTTTTGTGACATACAGATGGTGTTTACAGAGGAGAAAAGCTGATCAACCTGAAAGAGATTGTGGACGAGGCTCTGGAGAAGTGCAGGGAAAAGTAGGTCCTGCTCACAGGGCTAACAATCCCAGCAGCCACCTGTGTTTACACGACTTACTGACTCAACCTGTGGCACTGACACACACAAACACACATAGTGGTTGCTAGGCATGGAGAGGACCCACACAACCTGGTTTCCACATGATGGAGTTGCTGGGCAACATACTGTAGAGAGCTGATATTCATTAGGGAAACCCGCCCTGCTGCTGCGCCTCTGTGGCAACCGCAGCCTCGGAGGGAGAAACAAAGCATCCTGGGAGTTGTTAAAAAAAATATAAAATGATAAATATTGGTTATAATTAAACCTAGTTGCCATTAATAATAATGACACATATAAAGGTCTTAGATAAATTCTAATTATTAAAATTTACTGTCATTTGTTGTTGTTGTAATTTGCTTACTATAATTTGACAGAGCGACAACAGAAACAGGAAGAATCATCAAAAGAAATAAGGATTTTAAATGTAGTATTTTTTTTTTCATTCTTTTTATCATTTTTCATGTCACCACAGAGCATCGTCCACAGTGACCAAGTGCCTTGTCATCAAACACATTGGATTAAAGACAAACAGTGACGCTGCATGCATCAAATTACAGGTAAACAAAATACAACTGAAACTGCAGTGCATGCTATCATGTACTTTAGAATTGCATTTTTTAAAGCTAATTTCAACAGAACCACGCGGTTTTATAATAAACATCGGAACTATTTCTTATTTTTCCGTATACATTTTCAGTTAATGAACCCATTTATATTGTCCAAACTTATTTTTCCGTATATATTTTCAGTTATTGAACCCATTTATATTGTCATGATTTGATTTCCATAACCATAACAGTCACCAGTACAGTGGAAATGTATACGTCTCTACTGAAGAACTATTGGTTTTTATGGCGTTTCAATTGAAGACATTCATAAATCCTCACGTCGTCCATCATCCGAGGCAAACAACATCAAAAATAGCCCCACAACATGACCTCCGCCGCATTAGGACTCAGAACAAGTCTCTCACAGACCTCTCACAGTAATTTACAGTGAGCTGACCTGAGCTACTGCAGCCTCGGAGCAACCATAATGACTGAACAACACTGCCGGGTTCTCTCTCTCTCTCTCTCTGTTGTTGTATTGTATGAGTTCAGACCCCCTGGGACTCGCAGCGAGATATGTGGTGGGATGAGGCGATGAGAGGATCTGCCGAGGAGTGTGAACCAGAGTGGCTGGATGCTGAGGACCCACTGTTTATCCTTTACACCAGCGGCTCCACTGGCAAACCCAAAGTAAGACTCAGCTGCTGGTTGGACTTACTTAATACTTAAAGCACATCTTTATGAAGAGTAGATAATCAGCCGTCTACTTCCAAACACACACACAGTGCCACAGCCCTCATGTCATGCTCTGCTCTCTCTATGGTACAGGGTGTTCTCCACACAGTTGCTGGTTACCTGCTCTATACCTCGCTGACCTTCAAGTACGTTTTTGACCACCAGTACGATGACGTGTACTGGTGCACGGCAGATATCGGCTGGATCACCGGCCACTCTTACATCACCTACGGCCCACTTGCAAACGGTGCCACGGGCGTTCTAGTAGGTCGAGAAAATACTACATAGAATTGCTTTTCATTTTTTGCAAATCTGGAGATTCTGGAGAGCAGACTGTGGTGGTCCTCTCCCTCCTAAAGGCTTTTGTGTGTGTGTGTGTGTGTATGTTACCTCCAGTTTGAAGGTGTTCCTGTGTACCCTCATGTCGGCCGGTTCTGGGAAATTATTGAGAAGTACAAAGTGACCAAATTTTACACAGCTCCCACCGCCATCCGTCTGCTGATGAAACACGGACGGGAACCACTGGAGAAGTAAGAAACTGCATCTGCTGAAATCACAAAAGAGGGGAAAAAATTGTTTTTGAGCAGCACACACATAATAACATTAACTTTGACAGTTTTGTAAATATAAACTATATTATATTACAAACCTCACAGAAAATATTTTATTTATTCATTCATTTATTACCTTTTTGCTCTCAGCTACGACCTCTCCAGCCTGAGGATCATGGGTAGTGTGGGTGAGCCGATCAACCCCGAGGCCTGGCAGTGGTACCATGAGGTGGTCGGTCAGAGACAATGTCCAATTGTTGACACTTTCTGGCAAACAGAGACGGTAAAGGACGCATCAGTCATTTGGTCCCTTCACTCTTTTTGATTCCAACAGACTACAGTATATGTCACTGTGGTCAGTATGATCTTCTTCTTCCTCCTTTGCAGGGAGGTCACGTCTTGACTCCTCTTCCTGCTGCCACGCCGCTCAAACCTGGATCAGCTGTAAGCTACCAGAGCTTTCAATTTATAAATTGTGACTCGAGTTTATACTCAGTTCAACGAGTGCACACATTCTTTTTCAGACCTTTCCTTTCTTTGGGGTTGAGCCAGCAATCCTCAGTGAACACGGCGAGGAGCTGGAGGGTGAGGCCGAGGGTTATCTGGTAAGTTGAATTTCCCCAGTGTGGGATCAATAAAGTTCAATCTAATCTAATCTAATCTAATCTCACTGCAGCGTAATGCCGATGTACTAACGCAGCAGCTCAACACACATACAGTATCTAGATACACAATACAGACTTGGTCTCTTGGTAATAAGTTAATTTCTACTGTGAAGCATTAGTGGTTTTGGTTCCTGTTCATTAAAAACGTTTTTTTTATAATTTTGTCACGTTATAAACTTCTGGGTTTATTCCTCTCTTGATTGTTTTTTCTTTAATGATAAAGTGTCAGTTCATCAGTAAATATAATTTACGGTGTGTCACAGTCAAGTTTGTTGGTGTATCTTCTTTATTGTGTTTGTGCAGGTATTCAAGAGGCCCTGGCCTGGAATAATGCGCACTTTGTACAAAAACCACGAGTGCTTTGAAAACATCTACTTCAAAAAGTTTCCAGGCTTTTACGTCACTGGTGACGGTGAGAAACATAAAGATTAAGATCTTTTCTTTTTACTCTTTGTCCTCTCTGATATTTGACTGTATCTGTCATATCAGAAACAAAGACTGCACCTAGTGCAGTATGCACAGCTCTGTGAAATACCAGAGAATATCCCAAGAGAAAGCTAACAATGTTATATATATATAAAAGAAAAAGAGTCTTTGGACTTTTCATCATCTGTTCTCCTCTCGTCTCCTGTGTCAGGCTGCAGGCGGGATAAAGACGGCTACTACTGGATCACAGGGAGGATAGACGACATGCTGAATGTGTCAGGTACGACACTGACATGTGTTGCTGTCAGTTTCTGCAGCTGCTTAAAAAACAGTCTTCAGTGTTTTTTATTGTCTTGTGTAAAGTCACAACAACAATTATACTGTTTTGACTGTAGGACACCTGCTGAGCACAGCAGAGGTGGAGGCTGCCCTGACAGAATACCCCGGTGTGGTGGAGGCCGCGGTGGTGACCCGGCCACACAAGGTGAAGGGCGAGTGTCTGTACTGCTTCATCAGCCTCAAAGACAGCATGGAGTTTAATAACTCGGTGGTGGAGGAGTTGAAGAAGCTTGGTAAGTCGTAATAATTAATGGATGCAAACTACTCACATTTATCCTCTATTTAACTCCTTACATTGTTTTGTATTGCATTATATCTAAGAAGGATGTTTCCATGGAAACATAAGATGGAAGCATCACAGAGGGCAGACGACACTGTATACTGTACTTCATTCAAATGACTAAGACTTTAAGATAATGGTCCATTAATAAGCTGCATACTTAAGGAATGAGTTGCCCCCCCACCCCCTCCGTCTCCCCCACGTGGGCACATAACTACTGCAGGGTCACAGCAGGTCAAAAAAAAAAGATTTTAATACTATATTTGATTGTGACAGTGTGAAGATGAACTGAAGTGTAGCAGAAAATACAGTGTTTCAAAAAAGAAAGGCTTGAGAATTTTGGTTAACACTGACCTACCCTCGTGACACAGGTTCTTCCTTTTTGTTCTCTTATCAGTGAGGGAGAAAATTGGTCCAATCGCTACACCAGACTTCATTCAGAACGCCCCTGCACTCCCTAAAACACGCTCAGGTAATCACCTTTTCACAGTAACTGACACCAACATCATCCTCCTGCTCTCTCATCACATCATCACCTTCTCTTCTCCAACTGATCACTTACGCAGGGAAGATCATGAGGCGTATCTTGCGTCAGATTGCACGCAACGACAAAGACCTGGGAGACCTTTCGACCCTGGCCGACCCCAAAGTGGTGGAGGTGCTCTTCAGCCAGAGATGTGAAGCTGCGGCCTGAACACATCGCCCCCTCTACGTCCTTC